ATAAGAAAATAGCAGTTGTTATCATATGAAAAAATTTCATAAAACTAATTATAATTATAATTATCACATAGTAAAATAAAAATTACTCCCTCCGTTACGATTTACTCGCAACAAAGGAGGGAATTGCGGACTCCTAGGCAAACTATCATAATCTTGATTATTGAAAAATAAGGGATGTACTTAGTATTAATCCAATAAAAAAAAAACAAAACAAAAAAAAAAAAACAAAAATCAAATCTCAAGTCAATAAGCCACAAAGATTAAGGGCTTGTTTGGTTAACATAATAGAACATGGGAATTGAAACTTCCTAGGAATTGCAAATTTTGTATGTTGTTTGGTTGGCAAAAACTTGATGATATGGGAGAAGTGGAACTTCCTAGGAATTTTGAGTTCCCACAAAATGTAGGAATTCACTTACTTAACCCCCCTTAAGTAAGTAGAAATTCCCTTGGGAGATAACTTCCAACAATTTTTAGAAAATCCCATGAATTTGATTATAGGAATTAAATTCCCATAAATTTGCAATTCATAGAAAATTCTAATTCCCTTGTCAACCAAACGACACCCAAAAAAGGAATGTGAAACTGTAAACCGCCTCTAAGACACCTTCCTGGAACCCCATTATCCCATTTATAAATCAATAACATCAAAAAGTTATTACATATCAATTCCAAATAGAATATTCTTCTCTTTGACAGATTCACAGTCTTTGTCTCTTTAATCACGCTAGCATATTACTCCGTACGAAGTATTTTTAATTTCGTTGTTTTATCGGTCGACATGATTTATTTAATTTGGTGGTCCTTTAACAGTGCTATTATCAAGTTCAACTTTTTTTTTTCGTCGACCTTATTACTTTGGATGCGTCTACAATCAACTATTCAGCAACTAATCAACTAATATATTCCGTTTTTCCCCCCCCAAAAAAAAAAATAAAAAAAAAAAAATTAAATAAAAAAAATAAAATCAAAATCAACTAATATATTCCTAAGTCCGTCTCTAATTACTACCTTCGATTTTTTTTTAGTTGCAACTTTACAATATCTTATATTTCTCAAATAATACCCCAAAATTGCAAATAAAAAAAAATAAAAATAAAAAATAAAATCGAAGGTAGTATTTATTCTAGGTGGAATCAATACTTAAAGTTCATCTATTTTGACGGTAATATATATATATATATATATATATAGATTGGATCATGTAAAAACAAACCTTAAGCTGAAAACTGAAAACAGATGATCTAGACCATTGAATTTTTATTTTGTAATCTTGACCGTCCATTCTCTCTGCTCTATTTTTATCTTTCTTCAATCTCACGATCTCACTATTTCTCTCTCCTCCTCCCAAAAAATCATCAAATTTCAGAGGAATTTGCTTCAATCTTCATCAATAATTTGCTTCAATCTTCATCAATTTCGTCTTTAGCTTCAAAATTGAACCTGAAAAGTGAGTTTTGCGTTTCAACAATCAATTATGTGAGTTAATCATTTTCGTCGCTGAATATTCATCCCATTGAAGCGAGTTTTGAGCTTTCTCCTCCATTGAAGCGAGTTTGAGCTTTCTCGATCCTCCATTGAAGCGACTTTGAGCTTTCTTCTCCATTGAAGCGACTTCTCAGGTAGTATTTCTTAAATTATCGACTATCAATTTCACAATCTAGGGTTTATTGCTAGTTAATTGCTCGAATGTTTTTGTTATGGAATATAAATTGTTGTTTGGATTCGAAATTTGTTGTATAGCATGCGATTTTGTGACTTTTGCTCATCAATTTTTTCGACTTTTTTTCATCAATTTTGTTCGATTTGTTTGATTTTGCAATTTCCTGTTCGATTTTGTTCGATTTCCTGTTTGATTTTGCTTGGTTTTTGTTCGTTTTCATTTGTGATTTTTGTTCAATGGCAAAAACCTAATGTTCCTGGATTACTTGATGAAGTGAGAATAGGTCAGAATGTTGTTGTCATTTCTTGTAAATTGAAATTGTGATTATCTGTGGATACTACATTCAGAAATGGAGAGGCAACAATAAAAGCCTTTGTTTCGGTTAGTTTGTCTCTTGGAGACCAGCCGCTTGCTGCTCAATTTCAGGAAATTCCTGCAGAGCTTCGGATGTCAGAAGCTGAGAGGGTTGGATGTAGGCACAAGCACTTGATATATATTTTTGTCAAAATAATGAAACCACCTAATTAACAATGCTAATTTGTATTTACTTGTTATATACTCTGGAGAGGTTGCTGGCTTTAATTGAAATGGACCAAAGCAAACCTGATTTGAAATGGATTAACGCAATTCCTATCAACAAGAACACAGTAAGTTATGGCCTTTTAATTTGAAGTTAATTAGAAAGTGAAATTAGCCTAACAGCCTTACCAAAAGATGACCATCACCTCAAGTATGACCCCACCTGTATTTGAATTGACCCTACTACTACTGCTTGAAGTTATGCTATGCCTAATAGTGGCAAAAGTTATACAGTTTATAAAGTATATAATGTATGATATTGGTTTTTGATTCACTAATGCCTAGTAATGGCAAAAGTTATACAATTTATAAAGTATATAATTTATGATATTGGTGTTTGATTCACTAATGCCTAATAATGGCAAAAGTTATACAGTTTATAAAGTATATAATGCATGATATTGGTGTTTGGTTCACTAGTCCTCTTTGGCTCTGGTGGTGGCTTTCAAGATTCTTGAAACCAGAGGTCTAGGGTTCAAGGACTGGTGGAAAAACAGCTACAGAGGAAAGATACTAGATGAGGTATTACAAAACACCTTCCTTTTGATTTTTGATATAATTGTAAATTAGTGGTATGCTGAGTATTACTGTATTGCTTTACTGCCTTTTATTTTGTTGTGCAATTTTAATTTTATAAATAGTATGTCAATTACTAGCATTGCTAGATTGTTACACTGCACGGACATAATTACTTCATAGAAAAATTATCTCAGATTCTATTTCTCACAAAAGAATGAACAAAAATGAGGGTCATTTGGCTTGTTGCTAATCAATCACCCTTTCATTATTTCAGTGCAAGTTCTGTGGCAGGGAGGGTACTATTACAATGATACCAAAATCTGGCCGCTATCTAACAGGTGATGACTGTGAAGCTGGAAAGTTTGTCCGTTTGATGAGCTTTGATTGCCGGGGTTTGGAGCCAGTGGACTACTCCTTTGGTGGTGACAAGGAGGAGCAGGAGAAATTATCCGATGACAAGGAGGAGCATGAGAAATTATCTGATGACAAGGAGGCCAGAGAAGGAGAAGTTGATGATAATTACCTTACTTTTGTAAATAGTGACATCTATATAAATGTGGTCAATGTTGTCAAAATTTATATAATTACCTTATTTTCGATATAATGACCTTAGATTTATGGAAATGTTGTAAATTTTGGTTCAATCACCTTATTTTTATATATAGTGACCTTTATTTTTGTATATAGTGACCTTTATGTAAATGGTGTCAAAAACTCAGATATAGTTACTTTATTTTTGTATATAGTGACCTTAATGTAAATGTTGTAAAAATTGTTATAGTTACCCTATTTTTGTATATAGTGACTTCTATGTAAATATGGTCAAAATTGATATAATTACCCTTTTTTTGTATATAGTGACTTCTATTAATAGGATCAAAATTGATATAGTTACCCTATTTTTGTATATAGTGACAAATGTTGTAAAAATTGATATAGTTACCCTATTTTTGTATATAGTTACGTTATTTTTATATATAGTGACTCTATGTTATTTTTTTTTTTTTTAAACCGTTAGATCTTGTTAGTAACAATGGATGGTTGAGATTTTCTGTTTTTAGTTTTCACCATAAGCCCTGTTTTTAGCGGAACCTCCCCGTATATATATATATATATATATATATATATATGCCCGGAGGCCGTCCGTTAAATAATCCCAACTTTATACCCATTCCGCTATAAATGGTCTCATTTTACTTGGAACCGGTTAACTAGGTAATTTTTTTTAAGTAGAATTTACACGTATTGCTACTTGATTAGTCAAAAAAATAATAAAAAAAAGTAGTAAAAAATCACCACCACCACCACCTAAGCTACACCAATTCAACCACCGCGCTGACCGGAATCCCACCAAGCCAAGCTACGCCAACCCATTTACCCATTAACCCAACCCTTTAACCCCATTAACCATTTAACGAAACGAACCCCAAAACCCCATTAACCTAAGCCAATCGGGAGAGGGGAGTTCAATGACGCAGCTGGAAACGACGGATGGGGGAGATCGACGCGGCCATAATCTGGGGATGGGAGAGGTCGACAAAGTCGAAAAATCACCACCATACAGAAGGTCAACAAGGTAGAAATCGTGGTGGCTCACCTGGGTTTTCGCGGGGGAAGAAGTGAGGAAGAGGGTTGGTGGTTCTGGGGAGGGGGGTAAGTCGCGCGCCAGAGCCGACGCTGGGTTTAAGGGTTTGCTAGCCGGAGCCGTGTGGCTGGCTGGAGCGGCTTGGATGGGGTTGGGGGTTGGCTAGGGTGGTGGATGATTTTCGAATATTAATTTTTCATTTTATTTTTTTAAAAAAATTTATTGAATTTTATTTTTATGTTTTTTGACCAATTAAAGGCCATCACGTGTTTAGTAACTTGTTATAATAAGTTATATGACCGGTTGGGACCATTTATAGCGGAGTGGGTATAAAGGTGAGATTATTTAAAAATAATCCAAAGGTGGGATTTATTTTCAGCGGACGGCGCAAAGGTATATATATATATATATATATATATATATATATATATATATATATATATATATATATATATATTTATATATTTATATTTATTTATTTGAAAGTGAGATTTTGCTAAATTTGTATGAACTAATCTTAAAATATCAATTTTTTCAATTCAATATATTCACATTAGTTTTTGATTCACCGTTCCACAAACATATTAATCGTCAAACGTGTGAATTTAAAGGAGGCCGAAGTACCTCTCAGTATGACAAGCAATCAAACAATCATTAACTCAATGATAATGCAAGATACACATTCCCACTAGAATTTAACACGTACTGACAGCATTGTATTGTAGAAAAAAATAGATAAGTAAACGCAAGTTACGCAACGCACCTGTCAGCTCTAGGCCAAGAAGAACCTCTTGAAATTGGTTCAGTTCCAGAGTACATTCGCTCCCGAGTGCACAATATATAACACTAGCAGAAGCAAATCCCTTTAGCCAGTCGTCGAAACGCTCCTCGAGTTTCGACGACGGGGGTTTGGGCACCACAGGCCCTGCTAGAAGCACACAGTCACGGGTCATCTCCCACACCAAGGATGGGCGTCAAGAGAGTCACTAGGCAGCAAGGCAACAATCGGGGCTAGGGGGCTTGCCTTGGTGCTTAGGTAAGCACTTCCCCCTAAAGAGCTTTATATTGCACCTTGCTTAAAATCCTAGTGAACACCCACTTGACAGTAACACAATAATGGGTCGTTTGGAGACCCAAATTAAGTCCAAATGGGCCCAAATTTGGGGGTCCACCGTATTTTGGGCCAAGGAAGACGATGGTGGTGTCAGTTTTCTGAGACAAGGTCCCGAATTACAAGTTTGTGCAGCAGGTAGCCCGGGAAACGTGGGAAGCTTCTAGAAGGTTCCGGAGCTATCTACGGAGTTCTTTTGAAAGAGTATTCTAGAGAGGATGTCTCTAGAATATTCAAGGTTCATCCAGTGCATCTTAGAAGTCTCTAGGGCCTTCTATGTATGTACATTTTGAATGTAAAGTTCTAGAATGTTCTAGGTTAGTCCTTAGCATTCTAGGTAGGAAGCTTGTAGAAACCTCCATGTATGTATTTCCTAAGGAGGTGGGAAAACTCTAGATCCTTGTAGTCTAGAACCCTCCATTTGAGGAGGTTAGGAACATTCTAGAGAAAGAGAGTAAGTAGGGTGGAGCACTATAAATAGGCTCCAAGGCATCATTTGTACATAGAAGTTGAGAGATCAACAAGTTAAGAGCTATAAGTTGAGAGCAATACAAAAAGCCTTTCTTAAGCACTTGTGTTCTCTTGCAACTCAATCCTTTCCTTCCAACACTTAGAGTGTGAGGAAAACTAAGGCACGAGGGTGTCAAGTGAGTGATCGGGCATACCAGCAAGGGTGATAGCTTGGGTGCTCAATTGTCTACGACACTTAGTCGTAAATTCGGACTAAGGCACTAAGGGTGAGTGCTTAGTTCAACCAAAGGGGACTTGTTAGTACAAAGGGATCGTGCTAGCAAACTTATACTAGCAGCACAAGGAGTTGTGCTACGTGGGCACAAGGAGTAAGTGCCAAGGAGAAAGCCTGACTCGTCTTACGACGGACTGTAAGCGGGTGGCGCACGGTGCGTGACTAGGGCAAAGTAGTCGGCACGTGACAACACGCTTACCTACAATCTTCTCAACAAACTCACAATAAAACTCTTCCATCTCCTTACATATCTTAACTCCAATAGCATCACATTCTCGAAAAGATATACCGAATTGTTCACCTAGTGTGAGACCTTTAAGTCCGAATTTCTTGAACCCTACACCCGCCATAATCTTGGATTCATGTACTCGCATCCGAAAGATTTCGGTTGGAAGTTCCGGTAGTGTTTCTGCTTTATCGGCGGCCTCTTTCATGGAAAAATGCTTGTTGATGAAGGTGGCAAAGCCAGCGTATCTTGCTATATATCCAGTGATGTAGTGCACTGTTTTGAACCCATGTTTTCTGCCTAGTTCAGGCATCCAATAAGCGAAGTCATAAAAAACAAAGTCGGGTTTGAGTTGGGCTAGATGGGATTCAATAGTATCACGAGTCATGTCCATGGCAGTCATGATAAGGGGCGCAGCTGAGGGCGCATCGTTGGTTGTCTCGGCCCCAGGAGGAAGGCCATCGACGGGTGGAACATCGATCGGTATTAAAGTTAAGTGGTCTGGGTAGTGGTTTTGAGAAGTTAATTTGGATTGTGTTTTAGTTGGAAGGTAATAGGAGACTTTGTGACCCCTTTCAGCTAACTTGTTAGCTAATCGGAGAAACGAAGTAAGGTGGCCTAGAGCAAACCATGGATAAAAAGCTATGTTCAAAGCAATGGAGTCACTAATGTTAGCCATTTCTCACTAAACAAAAAACTATTATAGCACTAATTCCCTAATGCAATATGTTAGGCTCTATATTTGATTTTGGGAGTAATATTTGACTTTGCTTCCTTGGAATTGCGAGAGAAATTGTTGAGCTCACCGCCTCACTCATTGGCCACGTGTCCATAATTTTGTTTTTTATTTTTTGCTGCTGCCCACGTTAATTGAATGAGGCCATGTTAGTCCAAATAAAATACTGATTAATCTTTGTTGCAGAGATTTAACAAATTAACAAAGTTACGTTAGCTTGGAAGACACGTTCAAGGCACAATTCCCGTTTGTTTTTTTGGATGCAAACAATTCCAGTTTGTGCTGCTAAAGAATAAATTTATTCTTTAGGAGTCTCATTAGTCCCATAGTTTCTATATGCATTTTTTTTTTCATATAGGACATAAATGGAAAAGCACTAAGGCTTGACATTTAAAATGGCATTTTTAATGGTTAAAGTGGTACCTTTTTACTTTTTTTTTTTGACAGGAAAGTGGTACTTTTTTTGCACTATTATATATGTATATTGTACCATTATATCTTAGTAGTACTATCACATTTCACAGTTGTAGACACCCATTTGTGTCTCCCCAAAACTAAACCCAGTGATGAGTAGCTTTCACGTCGAATCATAATCGAATAAGGTGAAAGTGTGGAAAGTCTAGTGTTGCGGATAGTTTTAATTTCTTTTCTCTTCTCTCTGTTTTTGAAAACTTATTTTAAGAAAACAGCCAATCCAGTTTGGTTGGTCCATGATATGGGTCCAATAATAGTGTAGTTGGATGGAGCTTGACAAGAGCTTTCCAACGATATATTATAAGCCCAATTCCGATGAATATTGAGGAAGTTATGACCAATTTACTAAACTGGGCCCGGTTTGAGCCTTATATGCGGCCCAATGATCTAGGGGAGGGCCTAATATGATTTATCATTCCTAATGCAATTAGGAATAGTTTAGTCTTCTAGATTCTTCTAGAAGGTTCTTTTCATTCCTAATTCAATTAGCATTGATAAATTGACTTTTTGTTGACTTTTCAGAGTTTTAATTATAATCAAAGAGCATTTTTGAGGAAAATATACGATTTTATCCTCCTGTACGGCAAAATTTATCTAATTTGAGAAAGCGCGTCAAAAACAGTGTTGGCGCTAAACGCCAGGAATTGGCGTCTGGCGCCAATAGCCTAATGTTGGCGCCAATCTCGTTTTGCGTGCGCCAGACTCTGTTTTGTTAATTTTATCTTTTTGGCTGTTTTCTCTATAAATAACGTATTAAAAACTCCGTTTTCATTCACCAATTCTCATCAACATTCATCTATATTCACCTACAATCAGTTTTCAATTCTCTCTCATTCTCTTTAATCATTCACTATCTCTCTCTCTTTTTCAAAACTAGCTTTCTCAAATACAAAATTTCGCATTCATTATATCTAGAAACACCTAGCCATATTCGAAGTTGCCTTCGCCCTAGACGTGAAAGGTTTAATTTTTGAGGGTTTGGTCCCAAATCTCTCTTTCAATTATTTAATTTAATTGTTTTATTATTTTCCTTAAAGTTACTAACGTGTGTATTTTGTTATTAGAAAGAAGTACGAAACATCAAAGTAAGCGCTTTAATGGTTTTAATTGATATTATGATGTAGAAATCATGTTTAAATTGTTATTATGATATTCTTAGTATCATGTTTAGGAAAAAGGTTATAATATCAAATATGCTTATTATGATTCCTACGATGCTTCCTATTTTCTTCCTAACATTTATGATTGTTAGTATCATGTTAGGGTTAAAGATATGATTTTTAATGCTTAGTGACATGCTAGGGTTTGTTATTAATCTTGTTAGTATCATGCCTAGGATCTTGCTATTTTTATTATGCTTTAACATGATTTATGATTATTTTTATAATTGTTTTGATTATGATTATAATTTTTTTTATTACTATAATTATTATTATTATGATTAATATGATTGTTATTATGATGATTATTGTTTTGATGATTATAATCATATTTATGATTATTTATTATGTTGCTTGATACATTATTTATATTTATTGCTTGATCACGCATTTTATGCATGTTTAAAGGGAATTGGTATTTGTAATCACGCTTAATAAGATATTTAATAATCTTGTTTAGGGTTAATTTTGATTATAATTCAAGTGATCGCCAATAATAGTTTATTTGTGCATTAAATTCAACCAACATAGATAAACAGGTTTAGGGTTAATCCTATTGATTGCATGTTAATAAAAAAAACGCACATGAATACGATCAGAATAAAGTAGAGGCCTATTATTAGGGCAGATTCAATCTCTTTTAGGTTGGATTTGTACCTTCATCCCCGAACCCTTATTTGGTTCTAGACCTTATGGAGTTGACGATCTCTTGGATCGTTAATTAAGGGGTGTAACCTTCACCTCGTGAACGGTTTACAAGTTCCTAAAACTTGTTGGCGACTCTTTTTCTCTATCTTCTTTCCCTTTGGACGCCACCGTACTTTAGTGTGTGATCACAGTGGGGTTCAAGCTAGGGGTTTAACGCTTGAAATATTCCCTACAACAGTAATATAATATTTTGATATACCATTTATGTACTTATTTATATTATTAGCATAATACTATCTCCGGTACACATTATATGCAACTTTTGCCAAAAATAGAAATTTAACATTAGATGCAACTTTCCTATTCTTTCCTTTTTTAGTAAATTTTTTAAATGAAATTCCTCAAAGACCCTTACTCAAAGTATCATAAAGACAATTAAACAACTAATTCAAAATTCATTAAATAATAACTTAACTTAATTAAAGATAATTCTTCTCATCAAATTCAATTCACCCCAAGTAAAATCCATTCAACTTCCATCCATTCATCTTTCACAACTCCTCTGACCACCACCTTCAACGTCACCGACCACCACCACATTCAACGTCACTGGCCACCACCACCTTCAACAACACCGAACACCAGGGGTCCACCACCACCTTTGAAGTCGCGCACGCTATCGTTCTCTATTGCGCAGATCCCTTTTCTCTCTCTCTTCTTCTCTTAATCAAAGCTTCAATCAAATTTTCAGATATCATGAACTAGAGGTGGTTGGGCTTGTGTTGGATGGTTTAAGAGGTTTTTAGGGTAGGTTCGAGTAAATCGAGGTTAGTGGTGGAACTAGTTTTGGGGGTTTTTGAGGTGGGTTCGACGACACTTGGTTGGGTTTGTGGTGGTGTGGGTTCAGGGTGGTTTGGGTTAGTAAGGGTGGGTTCATGGTGGATCGGGGTGAATGGGAGATGATTTCTGGTGTTTTGGGGTGAATGGTGGATGGGGGGTTGATTTCGGGTTGGTTAAGGGGTGGATATGGGTGAGCATGGTGGTGTTGCAGTTGTTTTGGATTAGCAAGGTGATTTTGCGGTGGTTCTAGGTGAGTGGTGGTGGGTTTGGGGGGGGGGGGTTCTAGGTGATAACAGTGCTTTTGCGGTGGTTCTGGGGTGAATTTTTGTGGTTCAGAGCGAGTACGGTGGTTTTGCGGTGATTTTGGGTGAGTGGTGGTGGTTTTGCGGTGGTTCTAGGTGAGTACGAAGGTTTTGCAATGGTTCTAGGGTGAGTGGAGGTGGTGCCGATGAGGCTACAGTTTGACTATGGTGGTAGCCTAGTAGGGTGACTGCTGTTGGGGGTGGTGGTGGTTAATTATCTCCACTCTCCCTCCTATGCTTAAATGAATACTCTTTAAATCATTAATTATTAAATATTACCAAATTTTGTCTTGGGTTACGTGAGAGCTCCAAAGCTGCATATAATGTGTACTACCGGAGGTGGTATTAATGAAAATTTGTCAATTGCAGCCATTTAAAGTTTGTATTTTGCAAATTGTAGTCATTTAAAAAAAATTGCAAATTTCAGCACAATTGTTAAATACGGGTCTGGGATGCATCCATCACGAGAGAGTGCAACTCCACCACTTTACAAGACCAAGAAGGTGTTGGGTTTCGGTGAGTCCGACCCACCGTAGAAGGAAACTTGAGCCAAGACCACACTCACAATAATTATAACCATGAAGCATAATTAACTTAAACAACAAGATTAAGAAAGATATTATACCTTTGGCGCGTGCTTCGCTATGTAATTTTTCTCTTACTTTAAAGGCTCTTAGCCCCGCTCACACGAGGACCTCCAACAAAGTCCACCCGCAACCCGAGCAACAAAAATGGTCTATTGCTTAGGAATTAGCTAAGCCCGACCTAAACCCGAGTAATTAATTGTGTTAAAAGGTTTTCACAGTGGTGCTGCCTTTTCAACACTTATTTAAGTGCTTTTCCCAATACCCCAAGTTGGATATTTATAGGGAAAGGCAAGAGTAAGAAAAGCTCACCCATCAATGTGGGAAATTTGATTTTTCCATTTTATTTTAAATCAAAAATAAAATTAATAATCTAGCTACTAATAAATCTACAAGTGACATGCTCACAAGAGAGGTTAGGTGAGGGCCATTTGGAGAAGGGGGGGGGGGACCAAACTTGCTCCCCACTCCTCTCCCATAGCCGGCCAACACACCACCCTCAAGCCAATTACTTCGCGCCACATGGCACCCCACCACTTGGGCACCAAGGCACCCAAGGTGGGCTGCCAAGCGCTGCTTTGCTCCTTCGGCCTAGCAGGCCACACACCAAGTGTACGGGTTGCTATTGCCGAAGCCTGCTGCTACCAAGCCACACACCACACACCTTGCTAGCAAGCCTCGCACTTGGTGCGGGCTGCTAGCTTCGGCTTGCTGGCATGCCACGCACCTTGTGCGGGCTACCAGCCTCGGCCAACTGCTAGTATGCCACTGTAGAAACCTAAAAGTGTCTCCCCAAAACCAGACCCGATGATGAACAACCTTTCACCGCTGTTATTGGTCGGGTTGAGTATTTAATCTTGGAGTGCTTAAATACAAATTTCCATTTCATAAACAACCCAATTCCTAGCCCATTTCCCCAAACGATAACTTATTTT